TGGTCTAGTTTCCTGGAATAGTTTTTCAAGTTCCGGAATTGCCTTGTCGATAGCACTTGCAGTCGTTGCCCCTGGGTACGTAAGAAACTGCAGTGGAATTCCTGAAGAATTTCTGTTTCTTCTCAATGTATCTCCAAGGCTGTCTGAAATGAGTACTGGTAGCTTTTCACAGGAACTTGACGGCACTTTAAGTGGATTTTTTTCCAAAAAATTTGTTATGTTTTTTGAGCTCATCAAAGTGAAGATAATATATATATGACTTATAAAGAATACTGTTATAGCAATTTTTATTTTTAAGTTTTTTTTTAAAGTTTTTTTTCAACCAGTGACTGTGAAAAATAAACAGAATGCGGATTCACACAATTCTGATATTTAATAACAACTTATAAATCTGATTGGCCTCACCCAGTACGATGCACGCGTGTCCGACAGAGAACGGGTTCACACTTCTCTGTAACGCAAGCACGTGGACTGGCTCAGCACGGAAAACAGCGTTTTCTCCAAACAATAAAAGGATACACAAAATATATGATATTACTAAACACTTCTGACACCAATGTGGTGCTTTGGCAATGGTGTGGGTCCTAGTTTGGCACCACGTGGCTCCAAAAACCCGGGAGCTTCAGAGTTTAATTTTAGAACAACATAATGTAATAACTGAGACGCCGAACCCGACGCAAATACACAATTGCACTACAATACCACCCGTTTCCGACGCTCTTCAGTTGACCTTGTTAAGATGCTTGTAATTATACACGGTATAATATATACCTGTTGCAAAGCATGTCAATTGAAGGTGATAAATCAAGCAATGGTAGTAAAACGTTGCAAGATTACAGGAGGCATGTTGAGCAACAGTCTCGTGGTCGCAAAATACACGCAAAGACAGCTGCGATTCATCTTGAAATCCTTAAAAATCGTGCATCAGTCTTATGAGTACATAAAACGTTGTAAAACGTTCGTACAAATATTCGTGCGTTGAATTGCGATAATTTGGATCGCATTTGGTCGCGTCTGAATAGTGCATAGGCGTCGGAACCGGGGGGGGCTAGGGGGGGCTTACCCCCCCCCCCACTTTTTTTCCCAATATATACTTAGTATAGAAATTGAACATGTCTTCGTAAGTTTAGCCCCCCCCCCCACTTTCCATAGATATAGTATAGTATAGGTTAAAATTGGTAAAAGTGTTGATGATTGGAAGAAAATTTTTTGTTACTGGACTTCGAACCTTGCCCCCCCCCCCCACGAAATAGGTTTTTGGCGTTTGGGAAATAGACATTCCATTTTTTTTTTTTTTTTTTTTTGCTTGTCAGGTTTTTTTGGTGGACCAAAAAATTTTTTCTGACACTTAGCCCCCCCACTTTCAATTTGCTTCCGACGCCAATGTAGTGTGCATGTTGACTATATTGAGGAGACCTGATGCGACCACTAAAACACATGCAATGAATGCGAGACATCGTGCAACGTATGCGATAGCTCGTGCAAAGCTAAAATTTTCCAATCGCAAAGTCTTGTAAAGTACCCGTGCGCCAATTGTGAAAGGGCCTTTAAGAAGACTGTTTTAGTAACCAGTACTTTTGTTTTATTTTCTTGATCATCTCCCCTTGTTTAAGGGTCCAAATCGTACTTTTATTGTAAATTTATTTTAGTATTTATAAATGGTAGTCCTTGGGTCAAGGATGCCCTGTGACAAATTTTACAATGATTGGACAAGGGGTTCTTGAGTTATGACCTATATTCTAAAAGGTTTACGTGCACTACACGACGCACACTGCACAAATGGCCATAGCATTAGCCCTTTGAGCCTTTGGCTCAGAAGAGCCAAAAATTGGTTTAGAACTGAAAAGTTTAAATACATTTATAAGTTGTCCTGACCTTCCCCTGACAGCGAAAGAGAGGAGAGGGTGTAACTGAACAAAATTGAAACTACACTAACTAAGGATGCTTAAGCATTTTTTGATTAATTATGACTTTTCCCTACAAGTATGAACTTTCATCGAGGCCTAACCCTACCCCTGAATGTACATTATCTGAGGATACTTCCATATACATGTATATACGACCATGGCTTTGCTGTTCTTGAGAAGAAGATTTTTGTTTTAAAAATCCCTAGATATTTCTATGCAAACTGTGATTGTCGTGGCCCCTCCCTACCTCCGAGTGTTATGATTTGATCAAACATTAATCTACACCCTCTGCAGATGCTTTCATATAAATATGACCAATAATACACTTTCTGTTCTTGAGAAGAAGATTTTAGAGCGTTTCCTTTCGCAAATTACAAGTATGTTATCGAGTTTAACCAAAGCTAACCATTTTCAAACATCTTTTTTATAAGTTTTTTGAAATCAGAGCTGTTGATAAGAGTTGGTGACTTGAACAGTAAAGTAACAGATTCATATGAGGGGACATTTGAAATCGAAGAAATTTACATCCAACCGGAATACATAATATACGATGGTAAGATTTTATATAGATATGTATGTGTATCTTCGTATGTATGAAATGGAAAATGATTGAACCTTCATTGTAAAAAAAAACGATGCATTTCTGCAGATGGAAGTCTTCACAATGACATAGCCTTACTAAAAGTAAAACCTAAGCGTGGCCGTGGTATATCAATGGATTCTAATGCTCAGCCTGCCTGTCTACCATCAGAAAATACAGTGTACAGTGAAAACCTGGAATGTTACATATCTGGATGGGGCCTAACAGAATATGGTTTGTGATAATTTGCATTTATTTATGCAGTTTTTTGTTATTAATACAAAGTTAGTTTAATAAGTCAATCAACTGGAAAGAAAAAATAATTTTATATTTCATAATCTGAATCCTTTATATCACAATATCGCGTCAAATACCGGTATGTATCTATCATTTTAAATCTATATTTGTACAGTACAATTTGAAGTAATTTTAAAGAGATACTGTACTCGGTATTGTCTTTTTTACATCTTGGAACAGAAATTTAAATTGTTAGGAATTAACTTATCGCCTTTCCATGTCCTGCTGTCAATCACAACTAATTTTCAACCAATGAAATAATTCTGTTTATTCTGCGCGTTCAGTAAACACTTGCTCCGCCATATGCTCCGACAAACACTCGCAGTGGACTGAGTGGTCGACAATAAACAAATTGAAGAAATAAGTCCATTGTGTTTAAAAGATGCAGTTGGGAACGTGTAACACCGACGACAGGTATCCCGAAAGGGAATTATGGATGTTTTGGGACGCCGACGTTTCGGACTTTCTAAATATATTATTGGCCAGGAAATGAAATAAAACTTTTTTACTTGTTTTTTATGTTTATACATGTATACTTTCTTAGTTTGATGCACAAAAAATTCGTACAAATCAGTGCACAATCTGGAGATTTTCAGACTGTCTTCGATCGTTCAAAATATGCATAAAGGGCCTATATGCGCATATGAATAAATAAACGTCATCAGTTCATTACACCTCTACATATGTGCATGTTTTACCTTCAAAATCATTGTCAAAATACGTGCACATTTATTTTAAAAGAGAACTAGACGCTTTTTGAGTTTCTAATTTCACAAAAGTTTATATTGTTGGTACGTGTCAGAAAGTTACTGCAGTTTTTTTATTTCCAGTTTTTATTGCATTTGCACGATTATGTCTTATAACACACTTTTATTTTATTTTTTTTTTAAATTAAATTTGATTTGATCTATCCATTAAAAATGATTCTATTTTATGACAAAAAAATTAACTTTTAATTACCCCCCCCCCCCCCCCCTCCCACTAGTATTATTAAAAGTACTTGGACACAGATTTGAAGTTCATTTTTTCTGTATAATATCACGAATTATATATTTTAATAGCATTTCACACAAAAATTAATTAAATATCTTATTTCATTTAAAAGTTATAAAAAAATTAAAAATATTTGGTGAGTTTGATTGACACATCCTCGCACTTTTACAAATTTTAACTTTATTCTTAACCCTTCGGAAAAGTGGCAATCTTGTGTATTAATGAGAAATATTAAAACTTATCCAGAAAAACAATTTCATTCAGAGTATACATGTTAGAAAGCAAACTTTACAAGTATCGTCATTCCGTTGTGTACAAAGTATTGCCAATCGAGCACATAATTTGTGTTATGTACATGTACACAGTTTTTGTAAACAGGGCTAGAGCTCTGTTATTGTTTGGTGTTTACGATTCACCGGGTGCGTTAATTCGCCAAAGTCTGTTCACCACAACTGCACGGACTGGCAATAAATTGAGTGTTTGTTTTGCTTTCGAACATGTCTTCTCTGAATTTTCTGGATTATAGTTTTACATTTTTCATTGATACACAACAAGATTCACACTTTACCTAAGGATTAAGAATAAAGTTAAAATTTGTGAAAGTGCAAGGATTTGTCAGGAATTAGTTCGACATAATGAAGTCTATGGAACGCCATGACTGCCTTATAGCATGCAACTATGCATTTAATATTTCAATTTATCATTACGTGATGTGAACATATCTTTACGTTTTGTCCATTTTTTATGAGATGATGTAAATATATCTTGACATCATGTCAATGCTGCATTACATGGAGTAAATACATCATTTCATTATGTCAGCACTTCATAAATTAAAGTAAATTATTATATGATTGAATAATTTCCATCTCTCTGATTGGCTGAGATCCAACTATGTTAGAAAAATATTACGTTGTATTGACCTGCACGTGACGTTCCAGGTCAATACAAGGATTTATTTCCTCTACATTGATCTAAAAATAGATTGGGGAATTCCAAATTGATACAAATTGTTTTAAAAAGCTATTTAAACGAAAATGATTTGTATTTTCATGTGAACAAAACATAAGCGAATATATATTTTAGGTAAGGGTGGTAATTAAGAGGTTATGCAGGGACACCCCCCCTCCAACACTTACTGAACGTTAATTTTTTTTTATTTTTGGCAGTCAGTTTTCCCTGATAATACTTCTTCCTTTCAAAATCTATCCTATACAAAGACTGACATTATATATTTCTTTTATGTCCTCTAAACATTGAATTAAAAAAAAATTCAAATTGATACGCCTGGTAAGGTTTATTAACGTTTTAATTCTGCTCCTTTCTTGTATTTGGCAAGGACTTAATAAAATGCAAACAAGTAGTGAGCTGTATCATTTTATCAATTATCGGTGAATCATATAATAAAACAATTATTGCTGTTCTTTCGGTCAATACAATGATTTAGCCATCTTCGAAGTACAATATTCACCTCGCCCTTCGGGCTCGGTGAATATTGTACTCCTCAGATGGCTAAATCATTGTATTGACCTCAAAAACCAGCAATCATTGTATAATATCATTATATGAAGTGACATTGTGTTAAAACTTTATTGCATGAAATGAATTTTTCTTTACATCATTTCATTTCTTTAATATGTGAGGTCAAAACTGCATTACGTCAAGTAAATTGTGTTTTATAATTAAACTTATCATTACATGAAGTCAAAAGCCCATTTCTTTTGAGAGTGTAGATTTCTATTATATATTAAAGCATTATTACGTGATATGGATTTATCTTTATTTCACGGCGAGGGCATTATGATGTGAGGTGAACACATCTTACTTTTATGTCAGTGCTTTATTACGTGGTGTAAAAACTGTATAACATACTAGTAATATGAACATATATTTATATTATATCAATACTTCATTACATTGTGTCAAAACTCCATTCCGTGATGTGGATATATAATTACGTTATGTCAACTCTTTCTTATGTGATTTAAAAATATCTTTATATTGTGTTAACTCTTTATCATGTTGATTCCAAAAGTTCATTACCTGATGTTAAAAAACATTTACATTATCTCAAAGCTAAAGAGTTGACATAATGTAATTGAAGGTTGACACAATGCAATAGTAGTGTGGATTAATGTCATGAAGAGTTGACATAATGTAATGGAAGGTTGACACAATGCAATAGTATAGTGTTCTGTTATAAGGCAGTGACGGCGTTCCATAGTTGTCCCAGAGAAACGCGAAAGTTTGTGTAAGTTATTAGATTTGTATAATATATATCTGACCAGATATTCAAAATCTTCATCATTCACCTACTATCTATTATTGCTAGAACGTGTTCACATTTCCACCAGAACTTAAAAGTTCTCCAGAGTGAACATTACCAAAAGGATTAATGGTACGACCATTTGATTCTGGAAAGGGGGGGGGGGGCTTGCAACTTTTTTCGAGTCAGATTATTTATCTCCAAGACCATGTCGGTGGATTACGGATTATTTATTTCCAATGGCATAATATTTATTCTTCTCTTCATTGAAAAAAAGTATAACAAGCAGAAAAAAAATTAAATGAGAACACCATCGACAACTCTTATTCCGTGTTGGTGGGATGGGGAGGGGGCAGATTTTTAGCTCTACTGGTCAGAGACCAGAAGAGCTTATGCGATAGTAATGCGTCCGGCGTCCGTCCGTCTGTCTGTCTGTCTGTCTGTCTGTCCGTCTGTCTGTCTGTGTCTGTCTGTAAACAATTTTTCAAAACGCTACTCCTCCTACAATTTTAGTCTGATTTCAATATTACTTGGCACACAAGTAGACTACATTAAGATACATAGAATAGTGCATCGGTTTTTGATTTCGATGAACGGTGTTGCCATGGTTACTAAAAATAGAATTTTTTGTGAAATTCTTTAAAAACGCTACTCCTTCTACAGTTTTGGTCTGATTTCAATATAACTTGGCACACAAGTAGACTACACTAAGAAACATAGAATAGTGCATCGGTTTTTGATTTCGATGAACGATGTTGCCATGGTTACTAAAAATAGAATTTTCTGTGAAATTCCTTTAAAACGCTACTCCTTCTACAGTTTCGGTCTGATTTCAGTATAACTTGGCACACAAGTAGACTACACTAAGATACGTAGAATAGTGCATCGGTTTTTGATTTCGATAAACGGTGTTGCCATGGTTACTAAAAATAGAATTTTCTGTGAAATTCCTTTAAAACGCTACTCCTTCTACAGTTTTGGTCTGATTTCAATATAACTTGGCACACAAGTAGAATACACTAAGATACATAGAATAGTGCATCGGTTTCTGATTTCGATGAACGGTGTTGCCATGGTTACTATAAATAGAATTTTCTGTGAAATTCCTTAAAAACGCTACTCCTTCTACAGTTTTGGTCTGATTTCAATATAACTTGGCACACAAGTAGAATACACTAAGATACATAGAATAGTGCATCGGTTTTTGATTTCGATGAACGGTGTTGCCATGGTTACTAAAGATAGAATTTTCTGTGAAATTCTTTAAAAATGCTACTCCTTCTACAGTTTTGGTCTGATTTCAATATAACTTGGCACACATGTAGACTACACTAAGAAACATAGAATAGTGCATCGGTTTTTGATTTCGATGAACGATGTTGCCATGGTTACTAAAAATAGAATTTTCTGTGAAATTCCTTTAAAACGCCACTCCTTCTACAGATTTGGTCTGATTTCAATATAACTTGGCACACAAGTAGAATACACTAAGATACATAGAATAGTGCATCGTTTTTTGATTTCGATGAACGGTGTTGCCATGGTTACTAAAAATAGAATTTTCTGTGAAATTCCTTTAAAACGCTACTCCTTCTACAGTTTTGGTCTGATTTCAATATAACTTGGCACACAAGTAGACTACACTAAATACATAGAATATTGCATCGGTTTCTGATTT